AGTAATGTGAAAAACAGATACAAGATGTCTCAAGTTAAATATAAAAATTAAAGTGAATATTTACTTGTTTGGCTGAAAATGTGATCGTATGGAGATTGCCCAAAGTCACATAAGGATTCTACTATGCAGCTGGGAACAGAATCCTGCTTGGCTCTTTTTTCAGTCATGAAGCTTACTTACAAAGCCAAGCCCAGCCTTTTAGAATAGGATCTTAATGGGGAACAACGGTTCTTCAAGCACTTACTTGAGGAATTATGTGCAAAAATGTTTTAATGTCTGTGTATTTCTCAACTATCCCTGTGTCTGGTGACAGACGTTTAATAAAGTTCTCAGTGGCTTTTCGTCCATGAAACTGTTGTAGGAGGGTGTAAAGATTTTCCTTTTATGATTTTTTTTTTCCCTGAAGAAAGGCTGTTTGTAAAATTGAATTGCAGAGGGCTATCAGTATCAATTTACATTAGCTTTAATTCATTTGTGACCAAAACAAATTAAAAAATGCAGGATATGTGGATGATCATTAGAAAAAATCTCTATGACACCAAAAAGGAAGTAGTGAGATGAATTGCCTAATACTCATACACGTGCAAGATGGAAAATGGTTTTAGGGATATCGAGAAGGTCTCAGGAGATACTAATCAAAGAAATATCAATAATGCTTAACGAACATCAGCAGATAACAGCATGTTCTCAAGAACATGCTGTTTTAGACATACTAACAATATCTAATTTTATGCTTGTATTCCTAAATTCTGGTCAGGCTGAGCTTCTAAAAATGGGATAGATCAGAAATATTAAATACTCCGAAAACAAATACAGCATCTTACTGGTTTTGGCTTCTGATTCCTAAAAGGGTGCACGGAAGAAAACCCAGACATCTGTGGCTTAGAAAAGCTGTTTTCAAAAGCAGCTTTTCCCAGGTAAGAAGAGACACTCACTCTCACATACTGAGACACCCAGACTCGGCAGTCAGCAGAGCCCTCATACAAGTCAACACATTAAATGTGGCATGTGCATTAAATGTACTTAGCACCATCAATAAACAATCTTTTGGTTATCTGCACATGGACAGGAGAGAGAAGAAGGACAAAATGGCGAAGCTTGTGTTTCATATCCTCTATAGGCGACTATGATTAAAGCAAATGTTTGTAGTTTCAAGCAAGGGGGACAGGATTTTGATAATTCTGAATCATGGAGTTTTGGACTTGTGTTTATACATAGTATTAAGGTCTAAAATTCATGTGTTTTTGTACCTATTAAAGGTGTGTACCACATACATACAAGCACACAAGCTGGTATAGGTAAATTACTGCACTCCACCACTGCAATTGCAATTACAGGATCTTACACCTACATATTGCTTTCCAGCAGTGAAGAAATGCCCAAACATGAATAAAACTGCTTCTATGCAAGGGCATTACTCTCATACTGTGTTCATTTCTAAACTGATATAGATCGGTATATAAAATGCACAGGCATGTTCAGTGATAGTAAGAGAAAATTTCCTGGTATTTTTGCATCCAAAATGGATGAATTGTCTGTCGTTCTGTTTTTCTCCACAAAATATTCTGACATAAAGGCTAGATGGTTTGTGCATAGCAGCACAAATGCCATTATCATGTTGATTGAGGTAAAGGGCAGAAGTGTTGGTCATAGGGATGCAGAAGAGAAGAAAAATCTCTTACTGCAAAACTAAAGCTTAAATCAATTTAAATGAAAAAAACGTGTACTGTCCAGGGAGGGAGGGACTCTCACAAAATCTGAGAAGGAACATTGAACTTGATACTAAAGAGCAGCATAGGGGAAAAAGCATGATGGGAGAGAGAATAAATCAGCGCAAAAGAGAAAACCACCCTGGAGAAAAATCTAACTAGAGCAGAAGAGAAACATGAAAAGCAAATCGACTCCTTTGTTTCACACTTAGCAAAGCCTCAGTGTGGATTGCAGCATCAGTGTCAGCTTGAAGTTAAAAAAACCCCACAACTTTGAGTCACACAGGTCAGAAACCACCCGAGCACAACTTCAACCCTCTTTTGCCAACACGTGTCACTGGTTTTATCTGGACTGCTACAGCCTCTTTCTTTTCTGGCCTTTCAGGACCCTTTATGGTCCATACCAAAGAGCTCCTTTTTACATTTTTCTTTCTCGCACCCCTCTTGCCACCCCTTTTCACTGGCTCTGATAATTCCTTTTGCATCTACTCATATATATTACACTGCTCCTGTTCTCTCTGCTAAGCTTCTACTTATGTATGATCCTTGTCTCTACATTCACCTTTCTCTTTCCTTTGCTCCTTCAGGGTCTTGTGTTCCTTTAGCAGCTCTTTTCCACAAACTGCATTTGTAGTGTTCTGTCCTTCTCTTCACACATCTGTGTGCCAGACTTAATGCACCTTTCCTTCAGTCCATTGTTTTTTGGGTGACTCTTGAAAAAGCACTTTACCTCCCTTTACTTCAAATTTCACAACTGTAAAATGGTGATAGTATTGTTGACTTCCTTTGTAAAATGTTCTGAAATGTACTGGTGAAAGCTCTGCATAAAAGGTTAGTATTATTGCTATTTAAATCAATAAGTACTAAGAATAAGGTGAGCTATGGACATCTCTTTCTGAGCTTTAATGTACGATCCTGTTTGATCTTCCTCTGTCCAGCTGAGATGAAGTATGTGCATGGTGTGTATCAAGTGCGGACTGCAGCCTAAGCTTTAGCTCAAATTTATTGATAATACACAGTGTGTACATAATTTCAAGGTTATATCATTGGCTTGAAAATCTAGTATCATGTCTTGAGGAGGGATTGTAAACTGCATTTGTGGCTCCCTTCCTGCCTTGGGCATCGGTATAGATGAGAGAGGAAGGGCTGCTGCAGGAACTTCGACCACTGGTCTGATGAATACATAGAAGTACGTTGTGAAGTGCCTGATATACTTTCTACACTTGCTAACTAAAACATATGGTCATGGCTTTTCTTGAAATTTTCCCTCAAGAATCATTTATCTCTATGTTGAGAATAAGCATGAGCAATTTTCCCCAGAAGGTGAAGTTCAAAGCTGCTATTTCTGAAAACAGAGGCTTAGAAAGAAAATGCCACATCGGTTTTGACTCTGGCATCTCATCAGCATTTCCAGATCTCTTTTACCCTTTTGTGAAACAAACAATACATCTAAGAACAGAGCTGGCATACACTTATCCTTCATTTAAAATGAAGATCGTATTGAAATTATTTGAGAGAGCTTTTTGGTTTTACATTAATTATGAGCTGTAAGCTTTACTTAGCGGAGACTTCATAAAGGTTTACCTTGTTAAGCTGTTATTGCCAATTTCCCAGTAGTTTTATGTGCAAGAGAATAATACGATTTTTCATCAGATATTGAAGTACAAGATATTCTGAAAAGCATATTAAATACTTGCGTGAAGACCTGTGTTTTCATAAACAATGACTAAGTTTTTCTGAACCTGTTAATGCTAAGTGTTAGACATTGGTATCGTATCGGAGCAGGTGTGGCTAAACAATCTCTCAAGGTCATTTCAAGAACGAGATTCTAGCGTTTATGGTATGATCATAAACATTCTGTCAGTCATATGCCAATTGATATAATGATGTATATTTTTATCTTTGTTTTTTGCTTGTTTGGGTTAATTTTCTGAAGTTCATTTAATACTGACATTCTTACAAGAAACCATTGTGTTCAAAGCTTTTAGGGATCTTTGGTAGAACTAATCACCTACGATCCCGATGTCTCCCTTTATTTGAACCCGCTTATTCCCGCATTTTGTAACAAGCCTGTTGGTAAGAGTGGTCTAGAGCTTAAGATTATGCTGAATGTTGTACTTACTGGAACCTCTCACTATCCTGAGATGGTCTCATTTCGTTAGATGTTATTTCCTTTCTTCTTCAGTGCTATTTTTTTTTTTTTTTCTTCCACAATAGCCTGATGTATAAAACTGAAAAGGTCCGCAGACACTGAGAGATGAGAAGTAGAGTGATTCATCTTGGCACTGATCCAGTCTGTGGACTGAACAATAGATTTCGTAACTGTCACTGCTGAGCGGAGTTCCTTGTCTGCTCCTGACATGATAACAGTCAACTGCAGTACAAGCCTCCAGTCCCCTGTGAGGGAAGCTGACTGCTAGCTCTGACTGGGGATATTTTGTCCATAGCACCAGAGAATAGCATCTAAAGCTATGTCAACACCAGGAAGCAAAGCATTTTAAACTGTTTGAGTTTTATGTCTCATATTTGCTGTGTAGCCTTTATACAGAGATAAGAATATTTCTGGACATTCGTAATTAATCCAGAGAGCGTTTAAGAAGAGGAAAGCTTGGATAGCTGCTACCTTGGTCTGCAAAGTGCTTAGGCCTTTCCAGGCCTGATCTGCATGGCTCACGCAAGCATGACCTCAGACCTCTTGTTAAGGCAGAGAGGATGTCTAGGCTGCCTTCTGCTGAAGCGTTCCTGAGTTTGACAGTGAAGTAAGCAACAGGCTATGTCGATGATGGGCAAATGCGATTTGGTAAGAGGGCTCAGATCTGCACTCACACGACGAGGCAGATACTGGCAAAATGACTATGCTTTCTTATGATAGTTACCAGGTTGTTGAATCCTATCTCTAATCTACCATCCTCTGAGGTAGCCTATATCTACCATTTCTCTTGAGGAAGAAACATACAGTTTTCACTCTTTTTCTTCTGGAGTGTAGACAGGTAATCTGTCTTAATCTCAGACCTCGCAGTTCTGTTTTCTCTGAGAACGACTGTACAGTTTCTTTAAAGCATGGTGTTCACTTAAACGAAAGCATCTTTACAACAAGTGATAACATATGTAGGTTGCTTTAGGCTTTTCCTTTAGTCATACCATTCCCTGAACCTGAGGAAGATTACAGCTTCTTTGGAAACTCTTCTGGAATCTCTCCTCTGTCAACAAGCTGACCTCCATCCTCTCTTCCTATGACACGTCCTTCTTAATTTGCTGGTCTTTGACTTCATACTCCTGCCTTTGACAAACCAAGTTGTGGAAGTGGAAATGGGATCCTTGGTTGTGACTCATTCGCCTGGCATCTTCCAAGTATGCCCTGGACATCTGCTCGGTTGCATTCTTCTTTACTTTTCCTACTGCTACAACATAGTCACGCAGGGGATTGTAATAATCTACCATAGTTGGTTATTTACCACTAAACAGTAATTTTGTGAACTAATTGTCGTAGTTGTTCCTCATCTGCAGCAGAGTGGTCTGAGGTAGCTTTGTGGCCAGGTGCAATCCCTATGAGTGTTTAGTGTCAGTAATTGATGAGCTAAGGTTGTTTGCTAATGTGTGTAAATAGCATTTTATCTGGTAAAAATACTTAAAGCATCATTTACTTCTGCAAACAAGCAGTTCACTTTATTGATGGTAGAGAGGCGTGTACCAAGGTGATGGAATTTTCTGGCTTTTTATACTGAATTACTTCTTGGGAAAAGGAGGAAACTTACTTCGAAGTGGAGGTAAGAAAAATCATTGTCTGAATTGATACAATCTTAAGTCTAAGGATGGTAACTGCATAGGCAGAGGTCTCCAGATTAATTTCTTGTATATCCAGTAGAGTTAATCTAAGAATAGCATTCTTTTGGATCAGTGTGGTGTTGATGTTAGAAAATCACTGGGAGAGAAAAGAATTATTTTTATTAGTAGCAGGACTGAGCAGAGAAGTACCTGAGCAGAAGAGATAGAAATGTCTGTTTGCACTTGATAAGCAGTAAATCACTTTATTTGAAACATTTTCCATGCAAGAAGTCACTATTGTCTTTTTAAGGTACTTCTTGTGGGGGGGGGCTCCAGTCCTGCTGTGCTATACACTGTCCAAATATAAAAAAGGGTAAAAGCCATCCTCAAGTAGTTGAAAATCTAAGTGAAAGGCAAACATAAAGATAAAGCAAATAGATAAAGGGAAGAGGGGAAGATGTAGGGAGTACAAATGGTTTGAGTGAGTGAATCAGCCTTGTGACTAGTACTTTCAAGAAATGTAGAGATCATGCTGGTATGGAGTTTTATGAAACGGTTTGATAAAACTGTTATCAAGGAATGAATCAAAATAGTTCCTGTTAAGGAAAACATTATCTTTGCTGCCTATTAGAATTCTTTCATTACTTGAAGAGAGGAAATCTTGTAGCTACAACAGTAAATACAGTTTATGTGGATAAAGCCGCTCTAAAAAAAAATGATCTCAGCATAAGAAGAAAGTTTGCTTGTGGATTAGGGAGCTCTAAGAAGGTAAGAAATAAGGACTTGAGAAAAAGATTAATAGTTGAGTCAAGTAAGGGCCCATACTGGAACTTGTGAAAATTATCTGGAAAGGGAATAAATAGTACTTGATTTTTTTTTATTGGCAAGGTGAAATTACATGGGGCTTTTTAGCTATGAGGAGATACAAAGAATGCAGAAGGATCAAACAGTGATCGAGCATTCAGTAATAAATGACAGGTGAGCTTCAGGGTAGACAGCTGATGGTAACTGATTCTGAAGGGACAATTGGAACTAATCGTACTACCTGATAGATTCTAAATTAGCTGTAACAACTCTGAGAAAAAGACTTGGTCATTGCAGGGAACAGTATAGAGAAGGCTGCAGTTCAGTGCAGTCTAGAAAGAAATTGAGATGTTAGATTGTATTAAGACAAAACAAGTATCATTACAGGAATTTATAGTACACCTTTGCCTGTATTGGAGTGTTCAATCTCAGTCATTCCATCTCAAAAGGCATATGAAATAATAGAAAAGGTCCTAAAGAGAGCAACTAAACTGATGAAGAAATACAAAAACAATTCCTGGAGAAGTAAACATGAGGATATTTAAGACAGTGCTAAGGGGAAATTAATATGGGACAACATAATAGATGAATGATAGCGAGGTGAGTCTTCCCATTTTGTCTGCCATAAAATGAAGTGAAAGGGATGCCTCCGTTAACTTTACTTAAATGCGGTTAAAAGACAGCAGACTCAAAATAATGACTAAAGCAAAGTGAACACTGCTGAACTAACCGAGTGTTTTCATTCTTAACACTTTGCTGGGAGAAAGATTCTTAGATGAGATTTTCAGAGTTGGCTGCTTCCCAGTGGCTGCTGCTCTTACTGTCGCAAGGCCACTCTGGGTTTTTCAGGGCTCTTGGCACCCCAAGGTGCAGCTGGTCACCCAAGAGCCACTGCTGGCTACTCCAGGATCGGTTTCCGATCCTGTTTTTCAGGACCAGACTTAAAATTGTACCTTGTCCAGCTGCTGGCTGTCTGAATGAGCCCTGAGTATTCTTCTGAAAGCAACGCTCTTTGTACAGGTGACCAAACAGCACGTGATGCTGTCCAGCTTTCTGGCATCCTACATCCAAAGAATTCAAACTACTGCTCATTTCTACCTTTCTACCTTCAGGTCCTTATATGTTGTACCATGGATCCTGTCATGAACACTTTAGCAGGTTAATTACCTTTCATTGTGCAAAGCGCTCTCGTTATCTAGCTTCATTATCAGTGCCATCTGTTTAGTTAATACTTTACCTGGAAAAGCTCTGGTCTAAGTTCCCTCCATAATGTACCTTTGATATTTTGTATAAACTTTTAAAATGGGCAGATAGATGACAATAAAATGATCAGAATATCTCGAATCTGTCATTCATTCCCTCAAAGGTGTCATTGCTTCAATTGCACAACTGCAGTAACTGCAATAATTTCCCTTTTTAGGTCTGTGTACCATTGTTTAGCGTAAAAAATGACAACTGATTTTGGGTAATTAAGGGTAACTTGGTGTTTTCAGAAGTTCACCTAAAATCTCTGGAATTTTTACCCTTTAATATAAATTTTAAATTAAATAATCATAGGATCTTTTTGTCATTTTTCTTAGATTTTCATAGGCAGAATGAGCATGCTTTTAATGGAGGTTTAAAAAATAACATTGAGAAGACAAGGGCAGCAGATAGGAGTG